AATCTGTCGGAAAATTTTTGAGAAATTGACGTTTTAGTGACGTCATGTTCGCCATTTTCGCCTCAAAAACGGCAAAAGTTCAAACGCCGCTAACATCTTCATTTTTAAAGGAATCAAGACGTAACAAAAAAGGACATACGTAATTCTACTTTGTCTATCAAATGGCTATCTCGGTTTTTTGAAAATTTTGGATTTTGGCCAAAATTTTTCCAAAAAACTGACTTTTTTGGGAAAATAGCTATAAAATCCAAAATTTTGAGTGTATCGAAAAAACCGGAATATATGGCAGAGAAGTGGTCTATGTGTACCTACATACCAAGTTTTAGAAGAATCGGTTCAAAAATGTGGGAGTTATTCAAAATTGTATGACGTCATGACACACAAAATTTTTGAAAAATGACTTTTTTTTGGAAGTTTTAGACCTCGTACGGAAACAAAAATAGCACCATTCGACTCGCCGTGAAAAACTGCATCGGATAGACACCTTTTGAGGCCTTAGCAACCAACTTCAAAATTTGACCTCACTTGACCTGACCTTGACCTGACCTCGACCTTAAATTCATCCAGAGGTGGTCCATATCACTTATTGAGTGTGCCTATTGAATTCTATGAGTAAAATGACCCATAAAACATGTGTCGCACATGCCCTTTTCTATATTTTGTTTTTGGTGACCTGACCTGACCTGACCTGACCTTGACCTTGGCCTCTGAATGATATTGTATGCAACGAATATTGTTTTGGTAGCCTAAGAACACGTTTTGGGCGATCAGTCTCAGTCCATGACTCCATTCTTCGGCAACTACGGTGCAAGGCCGATACTGTAGGAACTTGCAATTTGTACCCTTGACCTGACCTTGACCTTGACCTCAAACTTAAAATTAAGTACATGTTTTTAGTTGTTCGTGATGAGATCTTTCGATTGGCGTTTGAATTTTCCAAATCGGACCATTAGTTCGGGAGATAACAGGAGGGGTAAAATTTACCCCCCCCCCAGCCCCGCGCGTTCGGCTGGAGACCCCAGCCCCGCGCGGGTTAAGGGCACAGGGCAAGGAACAGAGTAGGGCACTGAGGAGGGCAGAAAGTAGGGCACGGCAGGTTGCAGGGCATGGCACAGGACATTTTAGAGGGAAGGCCGGGTACAAGTCAGGGCAGACAGCAGGGCACAGGTCAGGGAACCGGACAGGGCAGGGACGCAGTGGGTCAAATTAGCAGGGGCTACGTACCAAGGCGAGGGGGCTGCGTCCCAAAATGGGACGCAGTAAGTGCCTTAACCCGCGCCCTGCTGGGGGGGTGTTTGAACACCCCCCCCCCTTGTGGTTTTTCGCGAATATCTCAAAAACGGCGGCGCTCCGCGCCGCCGTTTTTGGTACACCTTATCATAATCAATTCTACACATGTTGTTAAAATTTCAGACCAAGGTCTTTCAAGGTCAGGTCACCAGGTCACTTGAAGTGACCTCACCTCATAAAAAGTTTCAATGTCTGCCATAGCTACACCGAGTGACCGATCGCTTTGAAACTTTCAGCGATTGCTAAGAGCAATAGCACGTACAAAATGTATATCTCAGAATTTTGATATCGATGACCTAAGGTCAGGTCAATTTTGCAACCTCCCCATTATAAGTCAATGGGAGAAAATTGAAATGCGTCTCTTTTGGACGAAAGACATTATAAACACTCCCAAACACTGAATTACACTGAATTGAAGTGGTTTAGACACACTGAACATGAAAATGGTGTCCGTGACCCCTGTTTATGCCCTGAGGTCATCTTAGGTCACGAATGGTATCTAACAGTTTTTCGCAAATAACTTTTGATAGAGGCATGCTAGAGCGATGAAAACACCTTAGATGTGTTCAGCTCGACGATACGGATCTACTGATATGCAACATGACCCTTTCCGGTCAGGTCATGACCTTGACCTGAGGTCAAATTTTCAAGTTGACCTTTCAAGGTCAAGTTATAGTTCATTCGATGCGTCTTGACGAGAGGAACACAATGCCGGTAAAAGTAAGCTCGTGCAAGGCTTGGATCAAAAGTTATTGTAGAAAAACTGTTTCCGAAAAAAAAATCGGCTATTTTTGCAGTTTTTGCCCCCTGCAGGCAAAACCGTTGACGTTAGGTCAAATCTGAGAGAATTAATCAGATAGGGCTATCGAATGCGCTTTTCTGCGGCGCTGTAGCTCTATTGGTTCCCGAGTTATGCGTTGGCATCTTGGAAATTGTCGACATTCGACCTGGAAATCGGCGAAATTTTGCCTTCAATGACCTCTGGTGACCTGACCTTTGACCTGACCAAAAAATTGACCGAAGTGATTTCGTCATTATTTTTGACGCTCTTTCGAACGCCGCCTTCCGCGTATCGCTACGTGGCCCAGGAGCTGAGTTAGAAGGGGGGGGGGGTGTTCAGACACCCCCCCCCCAGCAGGGCGTGGAAATCCAGGACCCCCAGCCGGGCGCGGGTTAAAAAATGCCCTGTGGTGCCTTATGGGCCCGAGAGGCCCTGCAGTGCCAATTGGCCGCTCAGGGTCCAAGCGTGCCTTATTTCGACAGAGATAAGACCCGCAGGACTGGTGAGAGCACCTCACGGAGTCACGGGCTCCTGAGTCGCCACACATCACACATCTCCATAAGGGCCCCACTCCGGCTTCTGAGGGCCCTGTGCTGGCCTCTGAGTGACCTTGCTGACCTATTAAGCGTCAGCTCTAATTAGGGTCCTGGCCCATACCCGCATGGAACGGCTCCACACCAGTGTCTCTGAGGGCCCATAACGGCGCCTGTGAGGGTCTCACACCGGCGCCTTTGAGGGCCCAAGCCCCAACACCGCCAATCTGAGGGACTAACACCAATATTTCTTAAGGCCCTACATCGGCGGTGGCTCTGAGGGCCCCACACTGGCGCCTCTGAAGGTCTTATACATGCGCATCTGACGGCTACCTACCTGCATCTCTGAGGGCCCCACACTGGTGACTCTGAGGGCTCCCAGTGACGCCTGAGAGTACCACGCCGGTCTTCAGGATCCCACAGGGCTCCTGAAGGCCTCTGCTGGCCCTTGCTGGTCTCTTGAAGACCCGTTGCCCCCATGCATGTGTCTCTGAGGAGTGAGGACTCCCACAACGATGCCTTTGAAAGTCTTCACCGGCGACTGTGAGGGCACCACACAGACACGTCTGAGGGCCCTACACCGCCACCTCTGAGACACCAGTGTCTCCTGAGGCCCCACATCGGCGACTCTGAGGGTCCCACACCGGCGCCTCTGGGACCCCACACCAGTGCCTCTGGCAGCCAGCCACCGGTAACTCTGTAGGTCCTACACCGGTGACTCTGAGGGCCCCACCGGCGTCTGAGAGTACCATGCCGATCTCTAAGGACTCCACAGGGCTCCTGAAGATACTGCCGGCCCTCACTTGCCGGCCTGTGAAGGCCCATTGTTGGCATCATACGGCCCGTTACCGGCCTCTGAGGGCCTTTTGTCGGTCTCTGAGAGGTCCTGCTGGGTTATAAAGCATTCGCATTTCGCACCAACAACTCCAAGGGCCCCACACACAGCCATCTGTGAATGGTGTGGGTTTAGCGCCACACCAGTGTCTGAGGCACCACAACGGCATCCATGTGAGGGCCTCACACCAGCACCTTAGAGGGCCCACACCGGCTCCTTTGTGGTTCCTACACCAGTGACTCTGAGGGCCCCACACCACTGCCTCTGAGGAACCCACACCGATTGACCGATACCTTTGAGGGTCCCACGCCAGTACCTCTTAACCCTATTAGTGGCAGGGGGGGGGGGGGTTGTTTTTATCCACCCCTCAGGTTTTTCGGAAATATCTCCGAAACCGCTGAAGCTACGATGCTGAAATTTTGTGACTTTTCCTAAAACTAAATTGGGCACATTCCCTGAAAATTTCAAGTTCATAACTTTACCAGGGGCGGCTCCAGAGCACTTGGCATTGGGGGTCCTATTCGTGAAGCGAGTCATTTGGGCGAAGATCACGATGCTGCACCAGTTTTACGAACAGTGAATGAAAAATATCATGTGATAACATATACAAAGTTATTGTGCATCCTCTTTTGACACGTTTTTGCTATAATAGGCGGATCCAGGCGTCCAAAAAGGGGGGTTATGTTTTACCTCCCAACATAGGTGCCCTGACACCGCCTATGCATGACCCATACAATTGTAGTCGTTCTCTCATAAGAAAATTGTAACATAAGAAGACCATTACCACCCTTTTTAGAAACAGTACCAACAAAAACCTTATTTACTATACTTTTTGTGTACCCCCAATCTCAATGATCTGTATCCGCCTATGATTTTTGAAAATGCATATTTTTAGGATCCATGTGAATTCCTGGTTCATTCTCTATCGATCGGCAAAAGTTGCGTTAAGATTGGTTCAGAAACCTGGCCGTGATAAACAGTCTAAAATGTATCTGCAATTTGCACGTTTTTACCCCCCTCTACCCCCCCCCCCCCTATTGACATTTTTTAATTTTTATTTTTTAGAAATATAGATCACGTTGAGCGAAATCGAATGCCGTTTGAATTTTGAAAATCGGCCCGTTAGATCTCGAGATATCAAGGGGGGGTCGTAAACAGCCCCCCCCTGCCACTAATAGGGGTAGCCAGGAGCCTGCCACTAATAGGGTTAAGGTCCCACACCGGCGGCCCTGGGTCGGCTCTATACACCAGTCATTCTGAGGGCCTCACCGGCCCCACAAATTTTCGTCGATTTCTGGCGCTGCCCGGGTATTTGTCCCAAAAGCCTCCTCCTCCTGGATCTGCCAATGGGGGTCAGGTGTCCTACCGGCTACCATTTGTTTTTTTTTTTTTAGAAAAGAACTCGTGTCAGGGCTATGACGAAAAATAAGTGACCTAAATCCGATGAGAAAACAGGATTTGGGGGTACCCTAGGTTTGGCTCCGTGACCTGGTATGCCCCCCCCCCCCCCGCGCTGAAACCCTGGATCCGCCAGTGTCTGAAATCCGGGCGCCCTGAATTCGTACACTGATCGGAACTAGAATGCACCGGCCGTTACAACAATACGTATACGGTGCAAATATTGTATATTCAACACCAATTTACTGTGCCTGAAGTTAACTCCCCGTTGTCCGTCTCTTGGTTAGCAACTGTGGGCTTTATCCATGGTAAGCTGCTGCCATCTGGTGGTGATACCGCTATGTATGGTGCTGCCACCTGTGTGTTCCCTCCTGTCCATGGAAGGAACTACATGCAATATCACCAGAACAGAGCTTACTGAGGATGACTGCTGCAGGCGCATTCTGAGTCGGCGTGGTATTTTCGAATGATACTCCTAGGTAGCCTTCACCACTTTGATGCTGCTGGTGGACGGCGGATTTCTCAGCTTCTCATAGACGGGTGCTGTGGATAAGACAAGAAAGGTAGAGAGAGGTTTGGAGTGCAACAGTTTACATAAGCAGACGAGAACGGTCAAAGATGACCATACAATCTGATATGTAATATTGTAAAAGGGAAGTGGCGTCTCACAGTATAAACTCAGGCTTCTGTAATGTGGCGTCACAAGGCGCAAATATGCAACGTCGCACATAGCTATGACCACGGATCACCTAATTATGTGATCCGTGCTATGACTTTATTGTCTGATGTGACGTGTCTCACCGGAACATTAACAGCTCATGAGCGTTTATATCCACATGCGGTAAGTACAGTACTACAGCCGACAGCCAGGCATCAATGGTTACGCTGGCTGTCAATCTATTTCAATGAGTACAGCAAACTATAACACTGATTTCTCGTTTTATCTTTCTCAATCAAAGGTTATACAAAGCTCAGCAACACAGGCAATAATCTCCAATTGCCTACAATCACACTACCAGTCAATAGTCCCATTTCACACTGTGGGTGCCATTGTAAACATGCATAGAGTGGGATGGAAACACAAAATACAAGGATATATTCGACATGCACATTGAAATATGCAAATCCCCAACAGCCAGTGGTGTCACATAGTTAGGTCAGATTCATGCTTAAAAATTATGCCACTATGCTGTTTATATCATTTGTGACGTCACATCAGCGTCATGTGCTCATCTCGACCCGTTGAGAGGGTGTACGACAGCGGCTCCTAGAGGCCGGTTGCGCCGAGTAGTCTGTTGTGGGACTGATCAGAGGCGCTGGGCGGCGCCGTCACTTACCTAGGACCTGGAAACTCAGTGTTCTTGGCGTGCCGTCATCTCCTTTCCCTAGATCTGCCTTGACCAGGGCGTCCAGGACCGACTGACTGAGGTCCTCCGTTGCGTAAAAGAGCAGCCGCTCCAGTCTCCGACAGGTAACCACCAGTCTGCGACAGCACAGGACACAGGCCAGTCAGCGACACCAGCCGGCCGACCGGCCGTCTGTAGGGGACGGGTCCGGTCTCCACAGGGCCAGTTCAAGTCAGGCCTGGTCCGGTTGGGGTTCGGCGTTCGAGTCCGGTCTGAGACTGGGGCCGATGCGGTAGGTAGCGTGCTAGCTGATATTAGATTACGTGCACATACCTAATGTATGGATATAGCCATATGCAATGTGCACATAATCCATACACCCATAGACATCTGTATACCGATGCCTGTGATACAACAAATGGCTTGGCTTTGGACATTTATACCTACAATACGTGCTTTGGTTATAGCCACAATAGTCAATACATAGCCCTAACATACATAACAGACCATGCATGCTTGTTTGTATTGGTCTTGGTCTGGTCTGGGTCTGGGTCTGGGTCTGGGTCTGGTCTGGGTCTGGGTCTGTTCTGGGTCTGGTCTGGGTCTGGTCTGGGTCTGGTCTGGGTGTACAGCTGACTGACCTGCTGACCGCTGTGACCGGTATATCCGTACAGAGTGCACTGCGCTGTCCCAGCTGCATTATACGCAGCTGGGAGCAGCCGTGGAGGGCGGCCAGTGAGGCGTCAGTGATTGCGCCGGACAGAGAGCCGTCAAGTGTGACGTCTTCCAGGCCGGTGAGGGCGGACAGCAGCCTCTGTAGGGCCCCGGCAGTGACACGCGGGCAGCCTGGGAAACACAGACACATACAGACATGGTAGGTGAATGGTGTGGGAAATGACAGACATTATGCATATTGACATCAGCTGCGCATATAGCAAAATACGTTATCAGCACAGTCAATAGCATTGTAAGTGAAACTGGATATATTCACATAGCTGATGAGTAATTGTGATGCTGATCACTTTTATACGTGTCCCCTAAACGTCACCACACCACTCCGCACATACTCATCATGAGTGGCATCATACCCGTTGACATACCCGTCGTCGGCGGTATTAACATGACCGAACATACCACACATACACACATACAAACATATACGCATTGGTGACGTAATTGCCAATGCTGTCCATAGTCTATATGCCTATTGTTCCTTATTTACTGGTATGGTGCAACCATAGTGTAATGTAATACATAGTTATTTATTACACTATGGTGCAACCATGCATCGTTACTCAATGTTTATCATTATATCGAACTACTCATATCAATACCCTGCTCGGCCACTACTGCTCACCATGTATGACTTTTCATAAATATAGCACGATATGTGATCGACACAACTAATACCAAACAGCACCATACATGAAATACATATTCAAATATCCACTCCTGATATCGTCATATAAACCGTTGTCATCATAACACTCTGACGCACCCCCATGACCTGTCCCTTGCATACGTTCCCGGTTCACCTGTGCTGGGACGGTGTTACCATGCACAACTACTCGGTGTCATCACTATACCTAACCACTCATACCGATAACCTGTCCGTGCCACCGCCACTCACAGAACATGTGCAGCGCGGTAACCCGTGGTCCCAGCTCCTTGGCCAGCTGGTTGATGACGTCATCTCCCGCCCTTTGTATGACGACCACCAGCCCATGGCCGAGCCGTCTGCCCAGACGTGTCAGCGGCTCCCCCGTCTCCCTCGATCCTGTCGGAGTGAGAGCTGTGTCAGCTGACTGCAGTCGGACGGAACTGACGCCGGGTCGGGAGGCCGCTGACACTATGTTGTCAAACACTAATGTAGAAGACACTTATACTGACACAGCCGACACTGACACCAACACAGCCGACTTGACACTGCTGAGCAGTTTTGCATTGTCTGTGCTTATGCGATTCATTGCTATTGGTCAGTACCTTTACCTATAATAATCTGTAAACAAACACATAAATTGTTCAATTGTGCACTTGGAAAGTATGGAGGTGACCTCTGACCTCAACATGATGATTTGAGGAAATTTACCTGAAGTAGTATGTTACACAATACAGGTAGAGTGCAAAACGACTGCAATTGATATACCTATAAATCTGTTGTAATGCTGATAATGTCTATTGATACATGAGAGAGGCTACGATCCTCCCATTGAAATTTAATAAAGATCGGATGCTTTGCTAAGAATGTTATTAGATAAATATTACAATTGATGCTAGGTATTATAAAACATATATCTTCAGCTACAACTGTCTGCTCGCTTCTCCCCAGTCAGAATTGAACTTATTCGGTTCCTCTCTCTGCACTCTGCAGGACCTCACCGAAAACGTCCAGCCTTCCCAAGGACGGTGGAAGTAGTCGCACCCACTGCCCCGTTGAGTCGGAGGGTGCAGTCACGGTCAGTTCCTCCATACCCTCGGAATTCTGCAGGATGTTTGTCAGCGATTTCTCGCTCAGGCCCGGCGGGAAACATAGCTTCTTTATGCTGAAAACATAGCCATTGATGTCAGGATTAAATGAAGCGGTCATCTGTTGCTAACTATCAATCGTTAAATAAGCATAGCCATAGCGCTATAAGCATTAATTAACCCGCGCACCGACGGGGGTCTGCGCCAACTTCGTACCGACGGGGGGGGGCGGATGACCGCCCCCCCCCCGAGATCTCGAGAACGAAGCAAGATAGCGACAAGCGGTAAACGGCATCGGATACGCACGGACAAGGTCTACAATTTTTACAAAGGTCATTTTCAGGTCAGGTCAAAGATGACGTCACAGGGGTCGAAAAAGTCAAAATGGCGGCGCTAGATAAGGAGAGAGTTTTTCTTGAATAACTTTCGAATTAGTCATAATAGGAACAAACTAAGGGCATCATCGTGATCCTCTCGTCAATCCGCATCGAATGATATATATATATGTTGACCTTGAAAGGTCAAGGTCAAAGGTTGACCTCAGGTCACGTGACCTCGAGGTCATCATGTATATCAATCGATGCGTCTTGACGAGCTGAACACAATGAGACCATCCGCGCGGCTGAATCTTGTTCCTGTACGGAGTTATTGGCAAAAAACCTTTGGTGACCTTTGATGACGTCACATCACCTTACAGCTGCCCAACAGCAAAAAAGACCTCAAGGTAGTGAAGGTTGATCGTATATGAAGTCATGTATGGTATATGGGGCCATTCCGACCCGTTTTAGTGGTAAAAACAGGGAGTTGATTTTTCCCCCATTGACTTATAATGTGGAGGTCGCGAAATTCACCTGACCTTAGGTCACCGACATCAAAATTCGGAAATATACAAATTGTAGCTACTAATGCCCTTATAACATCCTGCGACTTTCAAAGGCCTCCGACATCTACTGTAGCTCTGGCACGGTGACAAAGTTGCAAAAAACTGACTTGAGGTTGGGTCATTCAAAGTGACCTGGTGACCTGACCTTAAAGGAAAAGGGCCACCTTTAACATGGGGATTGAAACTGAGATAGCCATCTTGTAGCCCGTGTCCGAAAACCTATCTGTCTACCTCCTTACGGCCGATTTCGGCCTCCATTCGTAGTTATCGGCAATTTTAAAAGAAAATACGCCAGGAATGCGTCCTTATCCCAGGAATGCGTTCTTATCCGACAATACAGCCACCCGCGGCGAGGCTTTGGTTTTTTACCAATCAGCTCCAACCAGCTCAGCTTTAACCCTCGCACCGACCGGGGGGGGGGGGCGGATATCCGCCCCCCCCCTGAGGTTTTTCGCGAATAGCGGGAAAACCGCGGCGCGTAGCGCCGCGAAATTTGGTATGACTATAACCTCATCAATTTTACACATGGTGTGCAAGTTTGAACCTCCTACCTTTTAAGGTCAGGTCACCAGGTCACTTTGAATGACCCAACCTCAAGTCACTTTTTTGCAACTTTGTCACCGTGCCAGAGCTACAGTAGATGTCGGAGGCCTTTGAAAGTCGCAGGATATTATTAGGTTATTAGTAGCTACAATTTGTATATCTCGGAATTTTGATATCGGTGACCTAAGGTCAGGTCAATTTCGCGACCCCCCATTATAAGTCAATGGGGGAAAAATCAACTCCCTGTTTTTACCACTAAAACGGGTTGGAATGGCCCCATATACCATACATGACTTAATATACGATCAACCTTCACTACCTTGAGGTCTGTTTTGCTGTTGGGCAGCTGTGAGGTCATGTGACGTCATCAAAGGTCACCAAAGGTTTTGGCCAATAACTCCGTACAGGAACAAGATACAGACGCGTGGATGGTCTCATTGTGTTCAGCTCGTCAAGACGCATCGAATGATATACATGATGACCTCGAGGTCACGTGACCTGAGGTCAACCTTTGACCTTGACCTTTCGAGGTCAACATATATATCATTCGATGCGGATTGACTAGAGGATCACGATGATGCCCTTAGTTTGTTCCTATCTTGACTAATTCGAAAGTTATTCGAGAAAAACTCTCTCCATATCTAGCGCCGCCATTTTGACTTTTTCGACCCCTGTGACGTCATCTTTGACCTGACCTGAAAATGACCTTTGTAAAAATTGTAGATCTTGGCCGTGCGTATCCGATGCCGTTTACCGCTTGTCCCTATCTTGCTTCGTTCTCGAGATCTCAGGGGGGGGGGGGGGGCGGTCATCCGCCCCCCCCCCGTCGGTGCGAAGTTGGCGCAGACCCCCGTCGGTGCGCGGGTTAACCAATCAGCTTATCTGACACAATCCGACGAGTCTGTCTTCTGAACGCTGATTGGCTTGAGTGTGACGTCATCGCTATGCCATCATACAGTAGGTGCCGTAGAGAGTATCAACATATGTAGTACCAATATGTTAAATAGTTTTAAATACTTTTTCGCGAATTGTGCACTTCTGGCACCAGTTTTAAAAAGAAAATGAAAAATAATAATGTCAAAATGAAAAACAACGATATCTTCATATTTCACGAAGGTGGCCCTTTTCCTTTAAAAGTTAGGAGGTTCAAACTTGCACACCATGTGTAAAATTGATAAGGGAATAGTCGTACCAAATTTCGCGGCGCTTCGCGCCGCCGCGGTTTTCCCGCTATCCGCGAAAAACCTCAGGAGTGGGGGGGGGGCGGATATCCGCCCCCCCGTCGGTGCGCTTGTTAACTAAGTGTAGTGTTGTGCGTAGTATTGTGTGACGCGCTAGCGTCGTAGTTCGGTCTAAGCCTGACGGCTCACGACGTACTGTACGTTATGACGCAGCCCGCCCGCGTGACTGGGCGGCGCTGACCGTTGACGGGTCGTGCGGCGCCGGCGGCGGTCAGTCTGACACCGGCCACGAGAGCAGAGGAGCGGCTGCCGAGGCTGGTAGACGCCGAGCCAGCTCACTGGGCTGGAGTCTGTTATGTAACGTTATCGCCGTTTGTTCTTATTTTAATATCATGGTGGTGGCTAAACAGTGAGTTTGAAGGACGTGGAACTGGACGGAAGCACACGGGAGGACTCGACACTACATCTTGGCGACAAGGATGTTTCAAGCAACCCCACCGAGTGAGTACTTGTCGATCGCGGGTCAGAAGCCTACTTTGCCGTGGAAGCAGTGGTACGCTGACTTCCTGATCTATGGTGAGGCTAGCGGATGGCATGATTGGCCAGCTGGTAGGAAGAAGGCTTTGTTATTGCACTGCGTTGGCACAGAGGCCCGTAGGCTGTTCAGAGCGATTGAATCAGTCGAGTCTTATGTTGAGTCAGACGCTGACATCAAGGATGACCCCACGTCAATGTACGACAGTACAGTAAAGATCTTGGAGAAGTTGTTTGTAAAAGACGCTGATGTACGAACTGAAAGGGTAAGATTCAGACGATGTGTTCAACAGCCGGGAGAAACAGCTCTCGTCTATCTTGCAAACTTGAAAGAAGCTGTTCAAAGATGCTCTTTTGGTGATCTGAGGGACGAAATGGTTAGAGACCAATTCATTGAGGGATGTCTGTCTGACCAGCTGCGTGACAAGCTTCTTTTGAAGGATAACCTGACCCTGGAGAAGCTGGAGGACATCGCCGAGGCGGTCGATCGTGGTCTTCAGCGGCGAGGCGTCCTGAGAGGTGCTGCAGAGGGATCAACCGGTCCAGCAGCTGCGCAGGTAGCAGAAGTCGGACCAGCTGCTGAACAGCAAGAAGAGGTATGTGAACCCGTTCGCAGCCTCCGGTACGGTCCATGCTATGCCTGTGGTAGGAGAGGACACCGGTCGGGTGATAGGAGATGCCCTGCAAAAGAGAAGCAGTGTTACAAATGCCATGAGACAGGTCATTTCAGTCGTTGCTGCCGTACAAAGCGGAATGACACAGATGCTAAAGATCGTCAGGTGGGGGCAGTACAGGTGCTTACCGTTCAACAGAGCATGCCTTCGAACTGTCCGTGGTACACCGTTGGCATTGGAGGTCATGACGTGGCGATGATGGTGGACACAGGTGCAGCAGTCAGCATCATACCCACGCAGCTGTATCGGGAGACCTTGAGTAAGTTTCCGCTGACCAGGGCCACGGTAAAGCTAGAAGCGTATGGCGGTGCAGGCATCAGCGTGCAGGGAGTCTTCAGCGCTTTAGTAACAACCCTGTGTGGTCGACAGACAGAAGGAGAGTTCTATGTAGCTGATGCTGAGATTCCCTTGCTAGGAAGAGACCTGCAGAGGGCACTTGGAGTGACTGTGAAGAATGGAACTGATGTTTGTCTTGTCCAACAGACCAGCCAGCTCCCAGCAATCAACGGCTTCGTCCACAAGGTCAGGCTTCGGGCTGACGTGGAGCCTGTGAAGAAGAAGCTGCGGTCACTGCCCTACGCTGTGAGGGAGGACGTCACCAAGCACCTGCAAGAGCTGGAGGAGCAAGGTGTGATCGAGAAGGTCGGCAAACACACCTCGCCGTGGCTCTCTCCGATCGTGGCCGTCCGTAAACGGAACGGTAAGCTTCGAGTTTGCCTTGATCTGACTGAGGTAAACAAAGCAGTGATCGCGAACGGTCATCCGATCCCAGATATGCAGGAAATGCTAGACCGTCTTCAGGGAGCAGTTGTCTTCTCTTCATTAGACATGAAAGCTGCGTACCATCAACTAGAGCTGCACGAGAGCTCCCGTGATCTGACTGCATTCATTCATGAAGGACAGGTGTGGAGATATAAACGTCGCCCTTTTGGTCTGAAGTCGCTGCCCCAGTGCTTCCAAAAGATGATGGAATGGGTGTTGGAAGGGCTGGAGGGCGTTCAAGTGTATCTCGATGACGTGATTGTATCTGGCAGATCACAGGAGGAGCACGACCAGCGTCTCAGGAGGGTGATCGAGCGGATGCAGGCCAGAAACATCACCTTGAACTGGGACAAGTGCAGGATTTGCGTCTCATCGGTTGAGTTTCTTGGATTTGCAGTTTCTCTGAAGGGGGTGGCAGTCTCTGAAGAGCGCGTTCAGAGCCTTCGAGACCTACAGCAGCCGACTGATAAGAAGAAGCTTCAGTCAGTCCTGGGAACC